ACACCTCTAATATATTAATAATATATTAATTATATTTATGTTAACTTTATTGTAAAAATATTTTTAAAAAATCAAAGATCCAGTAAAGGTATATATTAAAACAAATTGGAAAATTAATCAGTACTCTGTTTTAATTAGGAATCTCGTCATATTACATTGTTTAAGTAATTATCTTGCACTAACTTTGCGGTCCAATTTATTTTGAATTTAGAATAACGCGCTTTAATGTTCCTACTGTAAATGTCGTACGTAGAATAACACAACAGTGTTTCTTATTATAAATCGCCTACTTGGATATTTACTATAATTTAAATAAAATAGAATTTCAGACTTTTGGTACTTTGAATCTGTGTGCTGATGAAAATGCTCACAAAAGCTAGGCACTGGAAATTGATTCTTGCATTATTCAATGATAATTTCAACTTTATCTTGAAATTATGATTATTATCATAATTATAAAAATATCAATCCGTCATTATTCTCTGTTTTTTTTTTTACCATTATGCTAGAAATTTTCTAGAAATACACATTAGATAACTTAAAGACAATAAATAACTATTGAACTCTTGATAATTGCATAAAAAGTATAGAGGCATTAGTTTCATGTCTTATTTTTTATCTTTTTATATTTGCAAATATTCATTTGACATTTAAATATAAAATTGATGTCAACTGCTCAATTTTGGTTAAAGTCTCTACATTTGATCTATCGTGACAATTGTACAGTTATTAGCAAATTATAGTAAGTCTGATATCTGATTCGTACTATTTTTCGACAACTAATTCACAGACAAGTTCATTTCACATTCACCGACAACATTTCACCGACAAAGTAATTCTGGTCATTGTTGTTAGTGTCAGGTTAGAATTAGAGTTAAGGTTAGTGTAATTTATAAAAAATACTTGTCGGTGATATGAGCTGTCAGTGAAATAATTGTCGGTGAAATGAACTTGTCTGTGAATTAACTGCCGGTGAATTAAGCTGTCTGTGAAGTGATTGTCGGTGAAATAATACGTATCATAATTTTCAAGTATAGCTAATATTATGCTATGTTTAATAATCCGAAACTTATAGAACTTTAATATATATTAAAACAAAAATTCAATCAATTACTGTACATTATCGGATTCATATTATTCAAATGTATTATGTAAAAATTTAAACCCTTTTTTTACAATTTAATATAATTATAATTATATAAATATTAATAAATATTAATTTTGCATAAAAAAAAATAACATAAGCTATATATTAAATTTTCGTTTTTAATAAAGCTATGTTAAAGAAATTTTAGGTTATGGTAAAAATCCTAACGAAAATAAATAACCAATTTAAAATTTTAAATAATTATGCAAATTTGAGAAACAGAATTACTTGCTAGAAACTTGTCTTTAATAGATCAAAATTCCATTACTGTTTACTTTAATCACTTTAGGGGCCATCATATTGTTTGGTTACATTATTAACATTTGAATATCTAATACAAATGATTATAAAAATGATTAATATAAGTTTGCACCTAAAATAAAAAATACATGTCATCTTAATGCAATATATTCCTCACCTGTAATTACGTTACTATTTAATTGCAAACTTTGTAAAGTTAATGCTTTACTAATTAAAGTAGTTAGTAGCCTACTTGAGTAAATTGTTTGATCATTTATTTTATTTGACAAAATAATTGTATCTATATTTTCTGGTAATTTTATTTTACCGTTTTTTACTTTATGAATAAGATCATCAAGCTCAAATGCAAACACACCAATTTGTGCTATATACAGTAAATGTTTATCCAAGAATGGTTACTTTTTTGAGGAACTATAGACTTTCTTTTTTCTGGATCTTGATGCCAACATCTTTCCATAAATTCAACTAATTCTTGTGGAATGTTGTTTGGAACTTTTGGACGAAGACCATTAAGAATATCTAGAATAATATGTTCATCATGTTTACGATCTGAAAATGGCCTACAGCCAGTTATCACCTCCCAAATAATCATACCAAAACTATAAATGTCTGAAGCTTTTGTAAATTTTCCTCCTTTTAACACCTCTGGCGCAACATACGGAATAACTCCATAGACTGCATACTTATCTGATGATTCATTTACAGGTTTGCTTATTCCTAAATCTGCAATCGTTGCTTTCCGACAATCATCTCCAACAAGAATGTTACCACTATGAAGATCACGATGAATAATGTCACGTTTGTGAATTAAGTTAAGTCCCTTTGAAATTTGTTGTAATAACAACAATTTGTTCGTCCAAGTTAAAGTATTTGCATTTTTTAAATAATAATGTAGGTCTCTATTTTGCGCAAAATCTAGAACTATTATATAATTTTTTGTTTCAGGATGTTGTGTGATGCCGAGATATTGATGAATATGACGATAATCATTGGTAGCGTAATCTTTACTACAATGAAAAAAGTTCACTAGCTAAAATAACAAATAAATAATAAGGTTTAATTTAAATTTAACTAATTCAATTACGTAAATATAATCGCATAAGTATGGTTTATTACAGACCTCATTTAAAAAATTAGAATCCATTTTTTCAGAACTATTAAGAATTTTAAGAACAATATTTTGATTTTTGTTTCGATTGTAGTTTTGCTTCTTAGGATTCCACCTATTAATAGACCATGTTGCCTTATATATTACACTAAATCCTCCTTTAGCAAGGTATTCAATACAATTTCGATAAAAGGTTTGCGTTGATTCGATAAAATCGTCTATCAATTTATTACCACTTAAGATTCGTAATGAGGCCCGATAACAATCATTACATATATTGGAATCTACACGTGAGGGAGTTTCTCTAAGTTTACATTTCTTGCATCTTGGATTTTTTATACGCTTAGAGACTTTACGTTTAGAGACAAGTGAAAATGGATGTTCATTCTTTTTAACTGATTTTACATCAAATTGTTGGTGTAAATTATTGACTTGTCCTTCATAATGTTGAGTAATTCCTGTATTATAAATATTAAGTAAACTTGAATTAGTTTGATCTTGAGTAAAGCATGTGGTCCATTCCGTTGATAGATTATGATTAATTTGATTCTCATCATTCCGAGTAATGCCTGCAAACAATTCCATAATTGGATTATTAATATTTAACAATCTTGTATTAGTCTGAATGATATTTTCATTCCATTCCATAAACGGATTATTATTGGTAATGTCCGTAGACAATTCTATAGTTTGATCTTGGCTAAAGCCTACGGGCCGTTCTATGAATGGATTATTATAAATGTTTGGCAAACTTATAGGAGTTTGATCTTGAGTCAAGTTCATAGGCCATTCTGTAGGTAAACTATTATTGATTTGATCTTCATAAGCTTGAGTAAAGCCAGCACACCATTCAATGGACGAATTATTATAAAAGTTTAACAAATTTATATTCGTTTGATCTTGAGGAATAAAACCTAAAGTACATTCTTTTGATTGATGATTATTATTAATAGTTGGCAAGCTTTCTTCATTATACATTGTACAGCTAATTACATTTCCATATTTAAACACTACAACAGGTTGAGGAAATTAGGAGTAGATTTCTAGAATAGTCATACAGAATATTGTACGTTGTAAGGGGCCCTGCAATTTTTTATATATATTATATTCCTATTTTATTATTATATTATTCTATTTTTATCGATATATAAGTTAACTTCGAGTTTAGGATTGGTTCAACCAGTTTGTTAACCGCTTTAGTGACTTTAGTCACGTTATTAGATTTAGCTACTTTGTTCGAAATATTAGCTTTAGTAGCTTTAGCCCTTTTAGCGAATATAGTCGCTTTATTTAATTTCCCCACTATATTCGATTTATTAGCTTTAGTACTTTTCGCGGCCAAATGTAACTTATTCAAACCTGAATTGTAATAGTCATGTAAAAACTATAAAAGCGACTCTTCTTCGCTTCAATAAAAACTAACTAACGAGAGCTGGCATAATCCGCTAGTGTTCCTCATTTTGCGTCATAACTCATAAACATTCATTTACCCAATTTCCCGATAATAAACTGCCTTATAAACCCGTGATTCCGAGTAAGAGCTTCGTGACATAGTCTAGAGCTCTATTTGGACCTAATAACTCGGACCAAGTCTTTCCACGCCTCTTTCCGCCTTCCAACATTAGGGTTGGATAGAGTTTGGTTGTTTAGTGTTGATTTGGAGTAGTTTAGTGTTAGTTGATACCCGTAGCGCCGATTTTCCCCAAGTCCGATCCAGTTTACCCCTTTTTCAACGTACGTACGCACGTACTCGGAAAATTATATGCAAGATAGCAATATTCCGATGATACCGGTATTACATACATGCTTGGCAGCGACCATTGATCCAAATCCAAATTGATTGACTTTGTTCTCTAGAGTAGTGAATTACGTGTTCGAAGACTGAGTAAATTGTTGAGTGGCGTAATCAAAATTCAGCGTTTATATGCCACGTTTATATATATTGAGAATAAAATAAATATTCATTCCTTTTTTTATTTATTTTATTTATTTATTATTAGAAAAAATCTATTTTAACAGCCTGTTACGTAACAGCTATTAATATTAGGGTATATTAGGGTTAGTCTAGGGTTAGGGTTGATTTTGTGTCAAAATTAATACAAAATTGCGAGAGGATCATTTTTCGTTAGTAGCGCAAAAGAGATTACCTTAGTAAAATTTTGTGTTATGGCAAATTTAAAATATAGCTGTTACGTAACAGGCTGTTACGAATAGATTTATCTTATTATTATTATTTTTATTTGCACTTTTTTTTTTTTAGCTAGCATTTTTACAGAATTTCTTTTTGAAACAAAATTTTTTTCAAACATTATTATTACTGTCTTCTTAATCGAAGCTTCAAATTGTTTATCAATATTTAAGAGCATATATTGTAATATTGCAATTAAATCAGTTTAAACTTAAAAAATTAGGTATAAAAGGAATGAATATACGTTCAGTATAAATATATAAATTCTTATGGGGTTGAGTCAACAAAAACCAAGCAAATAATTTTTTAATAAGCTTTTTTAAAACTTTAAATAAGAATGAATTAACTAAAACTTAATCAAATTTAAAAAATTTTTTAAATTAATTCTACAAGTTTGTAAAATTTATTTTTAAAAAAAATTTATTAAATTTGGTTAAGGTTTTTTAAGTTATTCTTGTTTAAAGTTATAAAAAAATTTTACTACTGTATAAAAAATTTACTTGATTCACCCCCATATATCGAAGAAAAAATAGCATTGCAAGCATAATTAAATTTAAATGCTAAAATTATTTATTTTTCAAAAATATTTTTGCTTAGTAAATTACAAAAATTACAATCTCATCTTTAAAATAATTATGTAATGCTCTTTATTGAACGTACGTACGTAGTTTAAATAACAGATAACTTGTACATATATTGTCGGCCTTTAAATAATGCAAAAATTATTAAAAAAATAAAAATATAATTAATTTTGGTTTTAAATTAATTTAATTAAGTTTACAACACAAGTAATACTGTTGTGTTTTACAATTATTTGTTAGAGTATGCAATACAAAGGGATTTTCCCAACCTTGTTGTGGCAAAACCAATTGTAACTAATAATTTCTTAATCGAGTTTAGGATGATGATTTATTTCATTACTAGCCTTCCAGGTAAAGACTTGTCAGTTGAATTTCTTCCGTTAAAGCCTAAACAATTTCCCGAATTATAAATGCGTGAGAAGCTTCACAAATATATTTAGTTTCACAAATAGGTAATATAGAATGTAGTTGTAAAGGTAAATGTAAATATCACTGCAAATGTTAAAATGCACAATTACCTTGTCAGAGTAACTGTCACCCAATAATCTTGCTTTTGATAATTAGTGTAGCAATAATATATACTAGAATACATATATGCATAAATTGCTCTGCGATATATTAATGTTTTAATTGAATTTAAACCTGTAAAAGAGAAAACACCACAGATTGACAGAAAATTGAGCATGTGTCAACCATCGAAGGGGCAATACGTTTTTAATTTTAAAATTGAATGTACGTTAACTGGATTCATAATTAATTTTTAAGTCGAAATTCTTTAACGATCTGAGTGAATTTAAAACTTTTGTTCAATTTAAGTGTATTTAGAATCAACCTAGGTTGATTCTAATCCAGCAAGACTCCATTCTGATGTATAACTTATGTACACTATTGCAAAAACTTTAAGTCGAAATTCGTTGTAATAAAGCAAATTAGTACTTTAATCAATACTCTAATTAAATTAGGAATCTCAAGACGCTGCATTGCTTAAGTAATTATCTTTGCACTAATTTTGCCGATTTATTTTAAAAATTTAGAATAACGCACTTTAATGTTCCTACAGAATATGACGTAAATGTCGTATGTAGAATAACACAACAGTGTACCTTATTAGGGTGTCTAATATCGGTTTAATCACAAACATAGTGCAAACCAGGGACACGAAAAATTGAGTGATTTAGTGTGATTAAACTAAATCGCACTAAATCGCATAATTTTAAATCATATTTATATTCTCCGATTAAAAAATTGCGCATTAATTTATTCTCTGATTAATAATTGCATATTAATTTGCTAGTTGAGTGCAGTATTTAAAAAATCATAAGTTTTTTTTACGAGTAAAATTTGCAAAAAAACACTAAATCGAACTTTTAAATCTTAATCATCAGCAAATCGCATATATTACACATACGGCACGCAAACTACATAGTGAAAATCATTAATGACAGTGATTTTCCGACTTACAATTAGATCTTCTGATTTCACTTTTTCCTATTAAATTAAATTATTATAAAAAAGTGATATCGTTCAAATTTTTATTTCTCTTGAAGTATTTAATATTTTCAAATTCTGTAAACTGTTTATGCTTTATAAAACATATATTCAAAAAGTAACAACGTTATATTTTACATATGATATATAAAAAATCATAATGATTATGATTTTATAGTTACTTATATGAGGATCAATTACTGATTACATGAAGATCATTTACCGGTTTAATTTGGCGACCATAATAATAATATTAATATTCCATAAGATAAATGTAAAATCCTAATCATTATAATTTATATATATAATATGTAAAATGTAACATTGATGCTCTTTGAATGTATGTTTCATAAAGCATAAACAGTTCACAGAACTTGAAATTATTAAATACTTCAAGAGAAATAAAAATTTGAACGATATCACTTTTTATAATAATTTAATAGGAAATAGTAATCTAATTATAAGTTGGAAAATCATTGGAAAAAAAGTTCATTAATGAACTTCACTATGTAGTTTGCACTATGTTTGTGATTAAACCGATATTAGACTCTCTGGTACCTTATCACTTAGATGTTTACCTGTTTAAATAATTTTGAATTTTAAATATAACTTTTTATCTACTAATTCAATTGTAATAATTTTACTATTATTAGAATCACAAAAACTAGCTTTATAACATATTAAAATATTAGTAAAGCTCAATTAAATAAAAAAATTTTATTTGTATTTTTGTAAAATCTTTAAAATTTTTAATTATAAAAAAATTAATCTCAAATTGATTTTAAAATTTTAGGCTTGTTAATATAACTTTTGTTAAGTTAGCTAACTTTTGTTAAGTTAGCTAACTTTTGTTAAGTTAGCTAACTTTTAAATTTACCAAAATAAAATATAAATAGAGAATTAGGGCTGTGACATTTATTATGTAATTTTTTAGGAAGTGGGGAGTTGAGTATGTATTATATTAATATCTAAGAAATTATATGATTTCTAAATTGGCCAATTATAAAGATCTTATGTGGGGGAGGGGAGTAGCCCTTATAGTAAATTAATATTATATAATAAATGTCAGAGGATACTTACATATTGGATAAATTTAATTTTAAGTTAATAATAATTTTTTTTACAATTTAATTTTAAAACTGTACTAAATTTAGTATATTCAGTACAAAAAAATGGATAGCTATTAAGTTTATACTTACCAATGACTAATAATTTAACAAAATAATTATTAATATATATATTATTAGATATATATAAATATAAATAGCAAAATAATAATTTAAAATTAAGCTTATATTTACCAACTAATAATTTAATAAAAATATTTATTAAAAATATACCATTAAAAATAAAAATATATAAATTGTTAAATAAAATTTTAAAAATAATTAATTTTATTTAGAGATATCTATAATCTACATTAAACTAATATTGTTATAAAGATTTAAAGATAATACAAAAATAATACTATATAGAATTATTTTCAAGTTCTTTATTTCTATACAAACATTATTAGTTTAATATAAATTATATATATTATTAAAATAAAGATATATAAATTATCAAATAATAATTTAAAAATAACTATAATTAAGTTTATACTTACTGCTTAGCACTTTGACAAAAATTTATTATTAAAAATAAAAATATATAAAATATATAAAATATTACACAATAATTTAAAAATAACTATAATTAGGCTTATACTCACAGGCTAATAA